AAGGTCCCCCTGTTCAAGAAAGCACATATACAGGGCCGTCTGAAGTTTGCCAATGAACATCTGAATGATTCAGAGGAGAACTGGGTCAGATGAGACCAAAATCGAGCTCTTTGGCATAAACTCAACTCGCCGTGTTTGGAGGAGGAGGAATGCTGCCTATGACCCCAAGAACACCATCCCCACCGTCAAACATGGAGTTGGAAACATTATGCTTTGAGGGTGTTTTTCTGCTAAGGGGACAGGACAACTTCACCGCATCAAAGGGACGATGGACGGGGCCATGTACCGTCAAATCTTGGGTGAGAACCTCCTTCCCTCAGCCAGGGCATTGAAAATGGGTCGTGGATGGGTATTCCAGCATGACAATGACCCAAAACACACGGACAAGGCAACAAAGGAGTGGCTCAAGAAGAAGCACATTAAGGTCCTGGAGTGGCCTAGCCAGTCTCCAGACCTTAATCCCATAGAAAATCTGTGGAGGGAGCTGAAGGTTCGAGTTGCCAAACGTCAGCCTCGAAACGTTAATGACTTGGAGAAGATCTGCAAAGAGGAGTGGGACAAAATCCCTCCTGAGATGTGTGAAAACCTGATGGCCAACTGCAAGAAACATCTGACCTCTGTGATTGCCAACAAGGGTTTTGCCACCAAGTACTAAGTAATGTTTTGCAGAGGGGTTAAATACTTATTTCCCTTATTAAAATGCAAATCAATTTATAACATTTTTGACATGCGTTTTTCTGGATTATTTTGTTGTTATTCTGTCTCTCACTGTTCAAATAAACCTACCATTAAAATTATAGACTGATCATGTCTTTGTCAGTGGGCAAATGTACAAAATCAGCAGGGGATCAAATACTTTTATCCCTCACTGTAGGATACCAAGACAGACACAGATGGACAGACAGGCAGACATGCAGACAGATCCTCCTCGGCCTAAAGCCTGCTCAGGAGTTCAAATCAAATCAAATTGTATTTGTCACATACACGTGTTTAGCAGATGTTATTGCGGGTGTAGCAAAAAGCTTGTGCTTCTAGCTCCGACAGTGCAGTAATATCTAACAAGTAATATCTAACAATTTCACAACATATACCCAATACACACACATCTGAGTAAGGAATGGAATTTAAGAATATATACATATATGGACATGCAATGACAGAGCGGCATGGACTAAGATACAGTAGAATATTATAGAATACAGTATATACACATGAGATGAGTAATGCAAGATATGTAAACATTATTAAAGTGACTAGTGTTCCATTTCTTAAAGTGGCCAGTGATTTCAATAGGCAGCAGCAGCCTCTAGTGTGCTAGTGATGGCTATTTAACAGTCTGATGGCCTTGAGATAGAAGCTGTTTTTCATTCTCTCAGTCCCAGCTTTGATGCACCTGTACTGACCTCGCCTTCTGGATGATAGCGGGGTGAACAGGCAGTGGCTTGGGTGGTTGATGTCCTTGATTATCTTTTTGGCCTTCCTGTGACATCGGGTGCTGTAGGTGTCCTGGAGGGCGGGTAGTTTACTCCCGTTAATGCGTTCGGCAGACTGCACCACCCTCTGGAGAGACCTGTGGTTGCGGGTGGTGCAGTTGCCATACCAGGCGGTGATACAGCCCAACAGGATGTTCTCAATTGTGCATCTGTAAAAGGTTGTAGGTGCCAAGCCAAATTTCTTCAGCCTCCTGAGGTTGAAGAGGCTCTGTTGCGCCGCCTTCACCACACTGTCTGCGTGGGTGGACCATTTAAGTTTGTTAGTGATGTGTACGCCAAGGAACTTGAAGCTTTCCACCTTCTCCACTGCGGTCCTGTCAATGTGGATAAGGGGGTGCACCCTCTGCTGTTTCCTGAAGTCCACAATCATCTCCTTTGTTTTGTTGACGTTGAGTGAGAGGTTATTTTCCTGGCACCACACTCCGAGAGCCCTCACCTCTTCCCTGTAGGCTGTCTCGTCATTGTTGGTAATCAAGCCTACTACTGTTGGGTAATCAAGCCTACTAAACTTGATGATTGAGTTGGAGGCGTGCTTGGCCACACAGTCATGGGTCAACAGGGAGTACAGGAGGGGGCTGGGCACGCACCCTTGTGGAGCCCCAGTGTTGAGGATCAGCGAAGTGCAGATGTTGTGTCCTACCTTCACCACATCGAGGCAGCCCGTCAGGATGTCCAGGACCCAGTTGCACAGGGCGGGGTTCAGACCCAGGGCCTCGAGCTTAATGATGAGCTTGGAGGGTACTATGGTGTTGAATGCTGAGCTATAGTCAATGAACAGCATTCTTACATACGTATTCCTCTTGTCCAGATGGGATAGTGCAGTGTGCAGTTTGATGGCGATTGCATCGTCTGTGGATCTATTGGGGCGGTAAGCAAATTGAAGTGGGTCTAGGGTGACAGGTAAGGTAGAGGTGATATGATCCTTGACTAGTCTCTCAAAGCACTTCATGATGACAGAGATGAGTGCTATGGGGCGATAGTCATTTAGTTCAGTTATCTTTGCTTTCTTTGGTACAGGAACAATGGTGGCTATCTTGAAGCATGTGGGGACAGCAGACTGGGATAGGGAGGGATTGAATATGACCATAAACACACCAGCCAGCTGGTCTACACATGCTCTGAGGACGCGGCTAGGGATGCCGTCTGGGCTGGCAGCCTTGCGGAGGTTAACATGCTTAAAGGTCTTACTTATGTCGGCTACAGAGAAGGAGAGCCCACAGTCCTTGGTAGCAGGCTGCGTCGGTGGCACTGTGTTATCCTCAAAGCGGGCGAAGAAGGTGTTTAGCTCGTCTGGAAGCGAGACATTGGTCTCGGCGACGTGGCTGGTTTTCCTTTTGTAGTCTGTGATTGTCTGTAGACCCTGCCACATACGTCTCGTGTCTGAGCCGTTGAATTGCGACTCCACTTTATCACTACACTGATGTTTTGCCAGTTTAATTGCCTTGCGGAGTGAGTATCTACACTGTTTGTATTCTGTATTCTGTCATATTCCCAGTCACCTTGCCACCTTGCCACCTTGCCATCTATCTCTCTCTGTCCTGTTCACAGGCTTAACAGTGTGGTAGGTCTACACACACACACACACACACACACTCTCTTTCACTCATACCCCTCTCTTTCCCTCTCTTCTCTTTCACTCATACCCCTCTCTTTCCCTCTCTTCTCTTTCACTCATACCCCTCTCTTTCCCTCTCTTCTCTTTCACTCATACCCCTCTCTTTCCCTCTCTTCTCTTTCACTCATACCCCTCTCTTTCCCTCTCTTCTCTTTCACTCATACCCCTCTCTTTCCCTTTCTTCTCAGGTCTTGTAACTCTTTCATCATCCTCCAATCTTCTCTCACACATCCTAAATGTTTTAGTTTTAGTTTTCCTCTTGTTCCTTTCAATGTTCTACTTCACTAACATACTGAATCCTTTTTGTCTTCGATTCAGCTTATTTTTGATCACATAAAAGGTCTCTATCTCTCTCTGTCCTGTACTCTCTCTGTCCTGTACTCTCTCTGTCTGACGTACCAGAGATGAGAATAGTGCATAACAGAGATACACTTAATCGTTTGTGCTCAGTAGGGCTCTCCTGAGGCAGAGGGACAGAGCTACAGCCCAAGTGGTGCCCTGTTCCAATAATGGCCCTGGTCAAAAGTAGTGCACTATAAAGGGAGTAGGGTGCCATTTGGGACACTTCCCGAGACACAGAGAAGGGTCCTGGGGGAATTGGCTTCCAACAAATCAGTGGTTTGTTTTTGAAAAGCTGTGACTAAGTGGCTTCCTCTTCCTCCTCCCATTATTAATCACCACCAATTAATGTGTGTGGCTCCGTGAAACAAGCTGAAACTTCCTTAAGGTGAGATTAATCTGGTGTAGTTCCTTTGTGATGCTCATGTATCTTGTCTCAGCACATTTAACACAGCTCTCCCAGAGCCTTGATGGAATCACATTACAGTAGAGGCAGGGGGTGTGTCCCAAATGGCACCTTATTCCCAATATATCGGCCCGGTCAAAAGGAGTGCACTATAAAGGGAATATGGTGCCATTTGGGACAGAACCAGGGTGTCTGATGATGAGACACAGACAGAGACCTGCTGTACTGTAGGTAGTCAGGGTGGGTGATGATGAGACACAGACAGAGACCTGCTGTACTGTAGGTAGTTGGGGTGGGTGATGATGAGACACAGACAGAGACCTGCTGTACTGTAGGTAGTCAGGGTGGGTGATGATGAGACACAGACAGAGACCTGCTGTACTGTAGGTAGTCAGGGTGGGTGATGATGAGACACAGACAGAGACCTGCTGTACTGTAGGTAGTCAGGGTGGGTGATGATGAGACACAGACAGAGACCTGCTGTACTGTAGGTAGTCAGGGTGGGTGATGATGAGACACAGACAGAGACCTGCTGTACTGTAGGTAGTCAGGGTGGGTGATGATGAGACACAGACAGAGACCTGCTGTACTGTAGGTAGTCAGGGTGGGTGATGATGAGACACAGACAGAGACCTGCTGTACTGTAGGTAGTCAGGGTGGGTAATGATGAGACACAGACAGAGACCTGCTGTACTGTAGGTAGTCAGGGTGGGTGATGATGAGACACAGACAGAGACCTGCTGTACTGTAGGTAGTCAGGGTGGGTGATGATGAGACACAGACAGAGACCTGCTGTACTGTAGGTAGTCAGGGTGGGTATGATGAGACACAGACAGAGACCTGCTGTACTGTAGGTAGTCAGGGTGGGTGATGATGAGACACAGACAGAGACCTGCTGTACTGTAGGTAGTCAGGGTGGGTGATGATGAGACACAGACAGAGACCTGCTGTACTGTAGGTAGTCAGGGTGGGTGATGATGAGACACAGACAGAGACCTGCTGTACTGTAGGTAGTCAGGGTGGGTGATGATGAGACACAGACAGAGACCTGCTGTACTGTAGGTAGTCAGGGTGGGTGATGATGAGACACAGACAGAGACCTGCTGTACTGTAGGTAGTTGGGGTGGGTGAGTCCTACTGTAATGTGATGCTAGATAGGTCAGAGTCATGTGAAAGGCAGAGGCTTTGGTTTGGTTTGTTATAATGTAAGTGAATGAGGTCTATCCTAATGGAGAGTTATGCAGATGGGTGTATTTTTGTAGGGGCTCCATTATATATGTCTCCTTTCAAGTCTAGCTGGGCATATCCTAGAGGTTGTGTGTGTAGGTACGTACGTAGGCCTGTCTCTAACCCCTGTCTCTGGGTGTTTCTACCTCTAGGTCTCTGTCAGGACGAATAGTGGGTGGCGTGTGGTGGTTCTTCACCCTCATCATCATCTCATCCTATACGGCCAATCTGGCTGCTTTCCTCACGGTGGAGAGGATGGTCTCCCCCATAGAGAGTGCTGAGGACCTGGCTAAACAGACTGAGATCGCCTACGGAACTCTGGATGCTGGTTCCACTAAAGAGTTCTTCAGAGTGAGACCTGTGGTTTAGTCATAGACACACACCTGTTTAACTAGCATCTACATGCAGTTTACACACACACACACACACACAATTCTAACCCCTCCTCTCTCCCCAGCGGTCTAAGATTGCAGTGTTTGAGAAGATGTGGTCGTACATGAAGTCGGCCGACCCCTCAGTGTTTGTGAAGACCACAGACGAGGGAGTGATGAGGGTCAGGAAGTCTAAAGGGAAGTACGCCTACCTGTTAGAGTCCACCATGAACGAGTACATCGAGCAGAGGAAACCCTGTGACACCATGAAGGTCGGAGGGAACCTGGACTCTAAAGGATACGGCATCGCCACGCCCAAGGGCTCTCCCCTCAGGTAATAACGTGTAACTGCACCTCTGCCTCAGAGCTCGAAATGGCTTAGGCAGCTTTTTTTGCATGAATATTGTTTTGTATGGAGATACTGGATACATCCATTTTCCCTATATTGTGCACTACTTTTGACCAAGGCCCACAGGGTGCTGCTCAAAAGTAGTGCACTATGTAGGGAATAGGGTGCCATTTGGGATGCAGCCTCTATAAACATCAAACCCTTGACACACTGTTTTATCAGTGTAATAAGCAGCATGTATGACCTAATGTTAAAAGGTGTATTTGACGTGGCAATTTGACGTAACCACAAAATGGCAATTTGACGTAACCTCTATGACTACAAGGGGCTATCTAGAACCCATAGGTGAACACTTTGAAGAACCCTTTTTGGTTCCAGGTAAAACCCTTTTGGATGCAGGTCGAACCCTTTTGGGTTCCATGTAAACCCTTTCCACCGAGGGTTCTACCTGGAACCCAGAAGGGTTCTACCTGGAACCAAAAAGGTTTCGAAGAAGTGTGTACTGCAAAGTGTAAGCTCTATGACTACTGCAGAGCAGTATATCTCTGTGTCTGTGAGAGCTGAAGCCTTGCTAAGCCCTTGACATCCACCACCTGGGGCTTGGCCAGGCTGACCGGAATCTGAGTGCTTACAAAAGAAGTGGTCTGTCGAAATCTGCCCCCCCCCCCCCCCTCCGCTCCTCTACTCTCCTTTCTTCTCTTCTCCTCTCTCCTCTCTCCTCTCTCCTCTCTCCTCTGTTCTCTGTTCTCTGTTCTCCTCTCTCCTCTGTTCTCTGTTCTTCTCTCTCCTCTGTTCTCTGTTCTCCTCTCTCCTCTGTTCTCAGTTCTCCTCTCTCCTCTGTTCTCTGTTCTCCTCTCTCCTCTGTTCTCTGTTCTCTGTTCTACTCTCTCCTCTGTTCTCTGTTCTCCTCTGTTCTCTGTTCTCCTCTGTTCTCTGTTCTCCTCTGTTCTCCTCTGTTCTCTGTTCTCCTCTCTCCTCTGTTCTCTGTTCTTCTCACTCCTCTCTCCTCTGTTCTCCTCTGTTCTCCTCTCTCCTCTGTTCTCCTCTGTTCTCTTCTGTTCTCCTCCTCTCTCCTCTGTTTTCCTCTCTCCTCTGTTCTCCTCTTTCCTCTGTTCTCCTCCTTCCTCTGTTGTCCTCTATTGTCCTCTGTTCTCCGCTCTCCTCTGTTCTCCTCTGTTCTCTGTTCTCCTCTGTTCTCCTCTGTTCTCCTCTCTCCTCTTGTTCTCCTCTGTTCTCCTCTGTTCTCCTCTCTCCTCTGTTCTCTTCTCTCCTCCTCTGTTCTCCTCTGTTCTCCCCACTCCTCTGTTCTCCTCTGTTCTCCTCTCTCATTTGTTCTCCTCTGTTCTCCTCTCTCCTCTGTTCTCATTTGTTCTCCTCTGTTCTCCTCTCTCCTCTGTTCTCTTCTGTTCTCCTCCTCTCTCCTCTGTTCTCCTCTCTCCTCTGTTCTCCTCTTTCCTCTGTTCTCCTCCTTCCTCTGTTGTCCTCTGTTTTCCTCTGTTCTCCGCTCTCCTCTGTTCTCCTCTGTTCTCTGTTCTCCTCTGTTCTCCTCTGTTCTCCTCTCCCCTCTTGTTCTCCTCTGTTCTCCTCTGTTCTCCTCTCTCCTCTGTTCTATTCTGTTCTCCTCTCTCCTCTGTTCTCCTCTCTCCTCCTCTGTTCTCCTCTGTTCTCCCCACTCCTCTGTTCTCCTCTGTTCTCCTCTCTCCTCTGTTCTATTCTGTTCTCCTCTCTCCTCTGTTCTCCTCTCTCCTCCTCTGTTCTCCTCTGTTCTCCCCACTCCTCTGTTCTCCTCTGTTCTCCTCTCTCCTTTGTTCTCCTCTGTTCTCCTCTCTCCTTTGTTCTCTGTTCTCTGTTCTCTGTTCTCTGTTCTCCTCTCTCCTCTGTTCTCGGTTCTCCTCTCTCCTCTGTTCTCTGTTCTCCTCTCTCCTCTGTTCTCTGTTCTCTGTTCTCTGTTCTCCTCTCCTCTGTTCTCTGTTCTCCTCTGTTCTCTGTTCTCCTCTTTCTCTGGTTCTCCTCTGTTCTCCTCGTTCCTCTGTTCTCGTCTCTCCTCTCTCCTCTGTTCTCGTTTCTTCTCACTCCTCTCTCCTCTGTTCTCTGTTCTTCTCACTCCTCTCTGCTCTGTTCTCCTCTCTCCTCTGTTCTCCTCTGTTCTCTCTTCTGTTCTCCTCCTCTCCCTCTGTTTCCTCTCTCCTCTGTTCTCCTCTTTCCTCTGTTCTCCTCCTTCCTCTGTTGTCCTCTATTGTCCTCTGTTCTCCCTCCGCTCCTCCTCTGTTCTCCTCTTTCCTCTGTTCTCCTCCTTCCTCTGTTGTCCTCTATTGTCCTCTGTTTTCTCCGCTCTCCTCTGTTCTCCCTGCTGTTCTTCTGTTCTCCTCTGTTCTCCTCTGTTCTCCTCTCTCTCTCTTGTTCTCCTCTGTTTCTCCCCTCTGTTCCCTCTGTTCCTCCCTCTCTCCGCTGTTCTCTTCTCTCTCCTCCTCTGTTTCTCCCTCTGTTCTCCCCACTCCTCTCTGTTCGCCCTCCTCTGTTTCCCCTCCTCCTCCCCTTTTATTTGTTCTCCTCTGTTTTCCTCTCTCCTCTGTTCTCTTTGTTTTTCCCTCTGTTCTCCTCTCCCCCTCTGTTCTCTTCTGTTTCCTCCTCTCTCCTCTGTTCTCCTCTCTCCTCTGTTCTCCTCTTTCTCCTCTGTTCTCCTCCTCCTCTCTTGTCTCCTCTGTTCTCCTTCCCTCTTTCTCCCTTCTCCTCTGTTCCCCCTCTGGTTCTCTGTTTCTCCCTGTTCTCCTCTGTTTTTTTCCTCTCCCTCTTGTTCTCCTCCTCTGTTCTCCTCTGTTCTCCTCTCTCCTCTGTTCTATTCTGTTCTCCTCTCTCCTCTGTTCTCCTCTCTCCTCCTCTGTTCTCCTCTGTTCTCCCCACTCCTCTTTTCTCCTCTGTTCTCCTCTCCTCCTCTGCTCCTCTGTCTCTTCTGTTCTCCTCTCTCCTCTGTTTTTTCTCCTCGTCTCTCTCTCCTCTGTTCTCCTCTTGTTCTCCCCCCACTCCTCTGTTCTCCTCTGTTCTCCTCTCTCCTTTGTTCTCCTCTGTTCTCCTCTCTCCTTTGTTCTCTGTTCTCTGTTCTCTGTTCTCTGTTCTCCTCTCTCCTCTGTTCTCTGTTCTTCTATCTCCTCTGTTCTCTGTTCTCCTCTCTCCTCTGTTCTCGGTTCTCCTCTCTCCTCTGTTCTCTGTTCTCCTCTCTCCTCTGTTCTCTGTTCTCTGTTCTACTCTCTCCTCTGTTCTCTGTTCTCCTCTGTTCTCTGTTCTCCTCTGTTCTCTGTTCTCCTCTGTTCTCCTCTGTTCTCTGTTCTCCTCTCTCCTCTGTTCTCTGTTCTTCTCACTCCTCTCTCCTCTGTTCTCTGTTCTTCTCACTCCTCTCTGCTCTGTTCTCCTCTCTCCTCTGTTCTCCTCTGTTCTCTTCTGTTCTCCTCCTCTCTCCTCTGTTTTCCTCTCTCCTCTGTTCTCCTCTTTCCTCTGTTCTCCTCCTTTCCTCTGTTGTCCTCTATTGTCCTCTGTTTTCCCGCTCTCCTCTGTTTCTCCTCTGTTCTCTGTTCTCCTCTTTCTCCCTCTGTTCTCCTCTCTCCTCTTGTTCTCCTCTGTTCTCCTCTGTTCTCCTCTCTCCTCTGTTCTCTTCTCTCTCCTCCTCTGTTCTCCTCTGTTTCTCCCCACTCCTCTGTTCTCCTCTGTTCTCCTCTCTCCTTTGTTCTCCTCTGTTCTCCTCTCTCCTTTGTTCTCCTTTGTTCTCCTCTGTTCTCCTCTCTCCTCTGTTCTCTTCTGTTCTCCCTCCTCTCTCCTCTGTTCTCCTCTCTCCTCTGTTCTATTCTGTTCTCCTCCTCTCTCCTCTGTTCTCCTCTCTCCTCCTCTGTTCTCCTCTGTTCTCCCCACTCCTCTGTTCTCCTCTGTTCTCCTCTCTCTCCTCTGTTCTATTCGTTCTCCTCTCTCCTCTGTTCTCCTCTCCTCCCTCCTCTGTTCTCCTCTGTTCTCCCCACTCCTCTGTTCTCCTCTGTTCTCCTCTCTCCTTTGTTCTCCTCTGTTCTCCTCTCTCCTCTGTTCTCCTCTTTCCACTGTTCTCCTCCTTCCCCTCTGGTTGTCCTCTGTTGTCCTCTGTTCTCCGCTCTCCTCCCCGCTCCTCCTCTGTTCTCCTCTGTTCTCTGTTCTCCTCTGTTCTCCTCTCTCCTCTCTCCTCTTGTTCTCCTCTGTTCTCCTCTGTTCTCCTCTCTCCTCTGTTCTATTCTGTTCTCCTCTCTCCTCTGTTCTCCTCTCTCCTCCTCTGTTATCCTCTGTTCTCCCCACTCCTCTGTTCTCCTCTCTCCTTTGTTCTCCTCTGTTCTCCTCTCTCCTCTGTCTCCTCTGTTTTCCTCCTCTCTCCTCTGTTCTCCTCCTCTCTCCTCTGTTCTCCTCTCTCCTCTATTCTCCTCTGTTCTCCTCTTTCCTCTGTTCTCCTCCTTCCTCTGTTGTCCTCTGTTTTCCTCTGTTCTCCGCTCTCCTCTGTTCTCCTCTGTTCTCTGTTCTCCTCTGTTCTCCTCTGTTCTCTTCTCCCCTCTTGTTCTCCTCTGTTCTCCTCTGTTCTCCTCTCTCCTCTGTTCTATTCTGTTCTCCTCTCTCCTCCCCTGTTCTCCTCTGTTCTCCCCACTCCTCTGTTCTCCTCTGTTCTACTCTCTCCTTTGTTCTCCTCTGTTCTCCTCTCTCCTCTGTTCTCCTCTTTCCACTGTTCTCCTCCTTCCTCTGTTGTCCTCTGTTGTCCTCTGTTCTCCGCTCTCCTCTGTTCTCCTCTGTTCTCTGTTCTCCTCTGTTCTCCTCCCTCCTCTCTCCTCTTGTTCCTCCTCTGTTCTCCTCTGTTCTCCTCTCTCCTCTGTTCTATTCTGTTCTCCTCTCTCCTCTGTTCTCCTCTCTCCTCCTCTGTTATCCTCTGTTCTCCCCACTCCTCTGTTCTCCTCTCTCCTTTGTTCTCCTCTGTTCTCCTCTCTCCTTTGT